AATAATAATTATAATAAAAACAGTAGTTCACCAAAAAGATTGTTCATTGAGAGAGAGAGAAACTTAAATTGTCTAACATTTATTCAATTTATTAATGACAGATCTCGAGCCCCGCGGCTACTGAACTGGAGATGCAAATGATGGACTGGTTGGCCAAAATGCTAACACTGCCCAACCATTTCATGTTCAGCAACGGCGGCAAAGGAGGCGGTGTTATAATGGGAAGCGCTAGTGAAGCCATCTTTACCGCTCTATTGGGCGCCAGAAGTAAAAAATTGGCCGAAAGTGGTAATAAAGAGTTAATCAATAAATTAGTGGCCTATGCCTCGGATCAGTCGCACTCCAGTGTCGAGAGGGCCGCACTGTTAGGCGCCGTTCAGATACGACTTTTGCCGACCGATCGAAATCAAAATCATAGCCTTAGAGGCGATGTTCTGAGGGAACAGATGAAGAGAGACAGAGCTAATGGTTTGATCCCATTCTTCGTAGTGGCAACGCTGGGCACCACTGGTATATTGGCATTCGATAACGTCACAGAAGTGGGCAAAGTTTGTAAGTGTTTACAAATTGTTATTTATTAACTTTTCGTTAGATATATTGTAATTTTGTAAATAAATTACACTTATATTTTCGTAAATATTAAACACATTTGTATTGACAAAACAGGCTCTGAAGAGAATGTATGGCTACATATCGACGCCGCGTACGCCGGCTCCGCCTTTATTTGCCCCGAATTTAGGCATCATTTAAATGGAATTGAAGTTAGTTTTGCTTTCTTTATAATTTTTCGTAAAATTTAAACATTGTTTAAACTATAACTTGTATTAATAGTACGTCTCATCATTCAATATGAATCCCCATAAATGGCTATTAATAAGCTTTGAGTGTTCAGGACTTTGGTTAGTATATACTGTATATAACCATAATTTATATCATGAAAAATTGCTCTGTCATAAATTAAAATTTATAAAATATTTCATTATAGGCTTAAAAACCGGGATTATTTTGTGGACGCGTATAATGTGAATCCCGTATATTTGCGACATGAGTACGAGGGACAAATGCCCGATTTCAGGGTTAGTAAACTTATTTTATTTAATTATCACTTTATTCGTTTGTTTTAGTTACAATATTTTTTGAAAAAATGTTTGTTTTTAGTTTGTATAACATGTATAATTTTAAATTATTTATTTATATTATACTTATTTTGTACTTAAATGCAGGCATTAGTTAATTATGTTTTGGAGATATATCAAAACATGGTTAAATATTATCTGTTAAATATAGTAATTGAATATAAAATAATACAAAACTATTTTTATTTCAAAGCATTGGGGAATACCTCTGTCGAGACGATTCCGTTCACTTAAAATGTGGTTTGTTTTCAGAAGTTATGGCATAAAAGCGTTGCAAAATCACGTCAGAAAAGTATAACACATTATAACATACAATTAAAACAAATGGTGTAATTAAAATTATAATTACGTTTTAACCATATTAACCAACCAATCAAAATAGCAAGTGGGTTTAGCCAAATATTTCCAATCATTGCTGCTTAAAGACAATCGCTTTGAGTTGGCGGCACCGGTGGACATGAGTTTGGTTTGCTTTCGACTAAAAGTATGTAATTACCGACCGATTGAAAGGCAAATGCTTTATGCATTATGCCTTTCAAAAATGATAAATCACACAAACGTTTACTATTATAATCGACAACAATTACGTATACATAAAATTGTGAATTAATACTTAAAATTTATAAAAACAAGCTAACTTCAATTTTATAATCCAATACACAATTCTCGGTGCGTATAATAGTGAAAATTTGTGTGATTAATGAAATTTAACGCTAAGTTTTAATGTTCGGACGTTTTGTAGGGAACGGATGCTCTAAACGAGAAGTTTTTAAAACTTATAAACGACGGCAAAGCTATTCATTTGACACCGACTCGAGTCGACGGACGGTTTGTCATACGGTTTATTGCCTGCACTCAGACTACAGAGGATAAGGATATCGAGTTCGCGTGGAATGAGATCCAGAAACAGGCGCTCATCGCTCTAACCCTATAAACCTATTGCTTGCAATTGAAATAAATACCATGTTTTAAATATATGGCTAATTTTTAATTACAATTTGTTTATGAATGTTAAGTCTATGACAATTCTAATTTAATAAGATTTGGTTAAATAAATTTGTCAATTCAAATATAACTAAATATTATTAGAAATTATTTTAGTTTTAATAATAATTCTACAATCAATACAAATGTGGCAAATATTATAAAATAAATACACCGGAAAAACAAAAAAGTAAAATTTTTATAACCAAGGTTGAAATATTTAGCATCTACATTATTATTTGAATAGGAATTACTTTTATTTAATTTAAAATAAAACTTTTCGATCCAATGATTGATGAGATTTGCTTCACGAATACGAGAGAGACTAATATATAAACATAAATAATACAATTAATTAACTATTTAAATTAGTTTAAATATTTTAAATACATACATAATGTTAAGTGGTTTTAAATAAACCGAATTCCTTTGCAAACCAACTGAGATTAAGTTAGTAGTTAATTTATTTGCACCATGTTTATTTGATAAATAATGATTGGTAATATTATAACCAATTATACTGTAACGCAAGAAATGTCTGTCAAGTATGAATGAATATGGACGATCGTTCATTTTAATATAATTTAACCATTCTGATAATTCAACAGTTTTGTAATCATAAATTGTTTGTCCATTTAGTTTATTTAAAGTGTCCTAGATTTTTAAAAATATGTTTATATTTAAATAAAGTTTAGGTTTTATTTAAGTTATACCAATAAAGACTGATAGACGCTATGATTTCCAACAAGAATTTTAAGTCCATTCGTATATTGACTTTCAATCAATTGATCGATGCTTTCAATCCTATGCTCCACAGGAACTGTCATTAACGAATAGATTAAACCCGAATAAAATATGTATAAAATGATTGACATTAATATCCAGGAAATAAATAAAATGTTATTTGGATATTTATTAATTGTAACCGATGGATTTTGTCTAAATAAAATTACAATTATATTCCAGCTTAAAATAAGTTTAGCATTGGATTTATGGATGCTATTAATAGTAAATATAACGACAATGAATAGTGTGATTGTGGTTAGGATTGAGAGCCAAATATAACTGTCGAAGGGTTGCAACAAATTAGTAAAACGCTTCAATTTTGGCGGCGGAGATGTAAACGCTATATCACTTAATATATAGGGATATGTAAAATCAATGGCACTTTTTCTAACATTTGTCATTATTAATCCGGATGCTAAATCAGCTTTCTAAAATTTATAATCAATATAAATTAGAATTCAAATTATAAAAATAATATTTAAATTACCTTATTATGTAATTTTCCCACAACACCAAACCATGTGTTGTTAACCGGTTGGGATCCCCAAATCCCATTACAGTAAACAATATCATAGCTTATGTTATAGTGTTTGCCAATTGTGTGCCACAAAATTGTATCAAATCCTTTATCAAAATCATAAGCATTTTTATTTGTATTATATTTAATGGATATGAATGGCATAATCTGTAATTATAATTGGTTTGAATTAGAAATTTTAATTAATACATATAGTATACTGTTATCAATAATAAGATTTATAAAACATATATTTTAACAAGGTTTGGAAAGAGTAGCTATTGGTATTTTTAATCAAAATTTACATAATACAATATATAAATTTAATTAAATAAATAATATGGTGTTCAAAAATAAAATAATTCAATTGAAATTTGTATTTACATTATTTGTAGCAAATTTTAAAACTTTTCCGGTAAGATTATTCATATTGAAAATTAACTTTACTCTTTTAGGAATTGCATTAATAAATATGATCATTAACTATATATTACATTTGACATTATAAATAGAGATACAAACTTGATCACAAAAGATTAAATAAATAATTATAGTAAACGACCATGAGAAAAATGTTTTTAATAAATATAATGTATAATTTCGTTTATATGTACTGTACTAATTGTTGTTAATACTGTATATAAGTTTAAGCTATATTCTATAAATAACAAAATGCACCATAGACATGTATTATATTTTAATTGTTATGTAGAATTAATAGTAGAACTACACTATATTACACTGTACTATTAATATTAAATGATGTGTATGATAAATTATATAAAAGCATATAATTAAATATAGTTACTTATGTTTCTATGCATGATAATTATTTATTGAATTATTATCTCAAACTTGTTATATTTAATACAAGGTGATATCAATTAAAACAACATACAACTGACAAAACAATAATTAACTTTTTAAATATTTAAATGCAAACATTTTCATAATTATTTTATTATTTAGTATTTAATAAAATAAAAACATTTTACATAAAATCTCTAAAATTAATATAAATATAGTAAATGATATAAAATAGACATATCTATAAAACAAAAAGCTTAAATACATATAACACAGATTAAAATAATTACCCGATACAAATCTATTGTTTAAGTATTTACTTTTTATATCTAGATTAAAATAAAATGTTTCGATCTAATGATTCATAAGATTTGCTTCACGAATACGAGAGAGGCTTATATAGAAATGTAAATAAAATTAGAAAAATCATTAATGTATTAATGTACTTTAACTTACACCATGTTTAATGGATCCAAATAAATAGATTTTGGTGACAAACCTATTGAAATAAGGTTTATGGATACTTTATTAACGCCATGTACGTTTGATATAAATTGATTGCTAATATTATTGACACTTATGCTATATTGCAAAAAATATTTGTCCAGAATAATTGAATATAGATTATTTGTATTTTTAAGATAATCCAACCAGGTTGCAGGATTGACAGGTTTGTATTTGTAAATACTGTATCCTCTTATTTTATTTAGATTATCCTAAAATAAGAAAATTTAATTAAAATTATAAATTACAAGTTATGAATAATTACAAACCAATAAATCTTGATAAACTGTATTATTTCCGACAACTATTTTGATTCCATCTGTATATTGACTTTCAATCAATTGATCGATGCTTTCAATCCTATGCTCCACAGGAAATGTAATGAACGTAAAAATTATTCCGGAATAAAACGTATATAATATATTTGACATTAATATCCAGGTAATAAATACAATATTATTAGGATATTTATTAATCAATTTACATGGATTCTGTCTAAAGAATATTACAAATATATTCCATATTAAAGTGTATTTATTATAGTATTTAGTAATAACATTAAGAGTGAATATTAGGGCAATGAATAGTGTGATTGTGGTTAGGATTGAGAGCCAAATATAACTGTCGAAGGGTTGCAACAAATTGTTAAATCGTGATAGTTTTGGTGGCGGAGATGTAAACGAGACATCACTTAAAATATAGGGAAATGTAAAATCAATTGCAGTGTTTCTTAAGTTAGTCATTATTAATTCTGATCCAATATCAGCTTGCTAAAACAATAAATTAAGAATAAACTACTAAAAATCGTGATGATTGATATACTGTATTTTAATTACCCCTGTATGTAATTTTCCCATAACTCCGGGCCACGTGTTGTTTATGGGATGATTACCATATTTTTGATTACAATAAACAATATCATAGCTTATATTATAGTGTTTGCCAATTGTTTTCCATAGTATGGCATCAAATCCTTCGTCAAATTCATAAATATTTTTAAGCCAATTATATTTAACCGAAAGAAATGGCAAAATCTAATGATTATAATAAATAATCAATACATATAATTATTAAAAATTAACCTATGTTTACATTATTTGCTGCGAGTCTTAATACTTTATTAGTCAAAATATTCATTTTATAAATTAAACTAGATAAAAAAAAACAATTGATATTGTTATAATTAGTTTAATACTAAACGATATAAAACAAAGCCAAATATGCGAATCTTAATCATATTAATATTATAATGCAAAGTACTATCAATAGTCAAACTTATAATTTACCAAGTACAATTTAAGTTTATTTGGACTAAAATATATAATCACAAAATAATGTTTTTTTCCACATAATGTTTGTAACTTTTTTTAACATCATTAATGTTTATTTTTAATATAATAATTATTTTCAAAACATCACACTAAATTTTCACTTTGGATTTACATTAGTATACAATTTATGTTTTCAATATATAAAATACGTAATTACCATAATATAATTACTTAATGGTATATTTAATGAATTTTTAAAATAATAGTTGATCAAGTTTAATTGTATTTTTTATAATATACAATTGTATATTTATAGAAATACTATTATTAAATTCTTCAATAATATATTTTTGCCGATAAAATGTACTATACTTATACTAGGTGATATAGGCAAGTAGATGTGCACCATTATAAGCTATTAAACCATTAAAAGAAAGTTATTATATGGTATAGTCCGACACTAGGGGCCGCATCTCGTCATAGCTCTAGAGCAAGTGTACTGATTTTGATTGACCTGATGTTCATCATTTTGGCACATGACGCAATCTATAATTGTATAATAAGCAAAATGATTTTGTGTATTGACTTATAGAGCAATATAAGTATTTATTTGTTAAATGAAAGTTATTGTATGGCATAGTCCGACACTAGGGGCCGCATCTCGTCATAGCTCTAGAGCAAGTGTACTGATTTTGATTGACCTGTTGGTCATCATTTTGGCACATGACGCAATCTATAATTGCATAAAAAACAAAATGATTTTATGCATTAACTAATATAGCAATATAAGTATTAATCTGTTAACTGAAAGTTATTGTATGGCATAGTCCGACACTAGGGGCCGCATCACGTCATAGCTCTAGAGCAAGTGTATTGATTTTGATTGACCTGATGTTCATCATTTTGGCACATGACGCAATCTATAATTGTATAAAAAACAAATTGATTTTGTGTATTATCTAATATAGCAATATAAGTATTTTTGTGCTACAAGAAAGTTATTATATGGCATAGTCCGCCACCAAGGGGGCATCTCGTTATAGCTCTAGAGCAAGAATACTGATT